AATTAAGGGAAAATATTATTAACAATCATATTTTTTAATTAATAGTACATCTACTATAATAGTACATCTACTACAATGGGATACAATATAATCTCACATGATATATAATAGTACATCATCTACTATAAAATTTGAATATTGAGACAAAAAGGGTTGTTGAGAAAGTTCGGAGGAAGAAAGCCAATGGAAAATTTGAGCCATTGGTTTGAATTTTATTTCTTTTGTTTTCTTATGGTTTTTCATCAACTGAGCTTGGCATCATGTTGCAATTGGTTCTTTGCAATAGTAAGAGGAGAGGGAATAGAATGTATGTAGTCAGATGTTATGTGACTTGCCCTTGCTTTTCTCTTATTTTATGGAGATATTCCTTTTTTAATAGATATTGTATGACTTGCCCTTTGCATTCCTTTTCTTTAATGGGTTGATTTTCAATTTGAAATACATGTATTTGTTGTGTGTGTATGTGTTCCATTGAGGTTTACTTTGGCAAAGAGTTTTACACAAAGGAATTGGTTTTGATCTTCTGATTTACATCACTTTTTGAATAATGTTGTTGTTTTCTACCTTAGGTTTGACATCTTTTTGTTCAATAGGATTGGAACAACCCTTTACTTTTCCCGGGTAGCATCCAAGCTTACCCAATCTAAGGGGCTTGGAAATAGAGGGTTCCAAGATTTATGATGAAGATAAGGGTGCTAAGATGAATGGGAACCATATAATGGCCTTTGTTCCTCTATGGATGCTGATATATGACAGCATTCTAAAAGTCACTTGTCCCTATTGAAGAGCTTGATATACATTGTTGAGCTCATTTCCAGACAACTTAAGCTTTTGAGCTTGATGTATATTATTAAGCTCATTTCCTAACATCTTAAGTTTTTGGGACTAGTGGTGATCTAATAGTTCCCCCCTATACAATCAATACATATGGTATGTACTTGTGTCTATGTGGACCTAAGAAAGAGAGATTTATATTTTACTTTTAACTGTTTTAAATTATAATACTAAATTCTAGACCTTGTGTCCATTTTTTCTAATTGACCTTGAGATAAAGACTATGATCACTTGGACTATCTTAGCTTGAAACATCAGTGCAGAATGTTAAGTTGACCTTCTTAGCCCTGCAATCATGCATCAGATTTCTTTACTATATATTGATTCTTTTAGCTTTGATTCTCTAAGTTAAGTTCATGCTTGCATTCATCTTCGTATGTGCACTCAAGTTTGAAAAACTGATGATAACTGTAGGGATATTACAATTTAAGACACTAACATTTTCATGGGATTCATTAGTCTATACTTTGGTGGTATAGTTATTGTTTAGTAGAGTAATTTGTTACTTGTTAGTTTAGTTTTATGAGTTCACATCTGCTACATGTACTGTTGGTGATGTGGGGAACTGACGTGGTTATTTTTGCAATAAAACTGCTAGATCCTTTGCCGGTCTATTGAATCAGAACCTTTTAATTTTTTTTGTCATTGTATGCGTTATTGGGAAGATTTAATTGCCTTCATATCCTTATTGTACTTATAGTTTGTTGGCTTTGTCAATGGCCTGGATTTAGTAGATTAAGTGGTAGCACTAGAAGTATGTTAACTATTTATTGTGGTTTGTTATTCCAATCTGTTACAGAGAGTTGCCCCATTTTAGAGTTACTGATTTTGATTTAAGATGGCTGTTGATCCAGATACCATAGTATGTTTTATCCTATACCTCCATTTTGTAGAATATTTTATCCATTTAATTCTTATAGCTAACTTTTTATCCATATATTTTGTTTTTATTATATGACTAGCTTGCTAAAGCATTTGAAATACAATTTTTAGAAGGAAAACAAATTGAGGATTCAAACATGTATATTGGTTACCTTGGAAGTACACAAAATAGTATAAAAGTGGTGTACCACCTTGAGTCACAATCAAAAGATTTATAATGGTGGTACGATTTTGCGACGAGTCACTGCAGTCCGTATTTACTGAGAGTAATTGGAAAGTGTCAAAGTAGTTTTGTTAGAGTAATTGGAAAGTGTCAAAGTAGTTTTGTTGTTTTCACAGAGGTGGTAGAAGGAACTCTACACGATTGGGTGAAGAAAAACCCTCTCATTGATTCTAAGTATCCTGAAAGGTTGAGTAAGTCTTTTATTGGCATCTTGGGGTAAGTGCATGTCTATGTCATCTTTGCTATTTATCCAAGTAATTCATTCATTTGTTTTTTTGTCTTTTCATTCAAATTTTTTTGGTCATTTACTCTGTAAGGATATACTTCAGATGTATTGAGACAACCACATGGAGAAATTTGTGCAAACAATGTCTACTTAGTTAATGGAAATGCCAAGTTGGGCAAACCTGTAAATCCTGAGTGGTACGAGAAGACATTGGGAGATGACATTGACAAATTCTGTGGTATGGTTAAATCTCTCTTCAAGTCCAAATGGTCTAAATTTCCCTTTGTTTTGGAAAGTATAGTATTTCTTTAATTATGATTTTTTAAATCTGGTATAGTGTTTTTATTTTATTGATTCTAACGTTTTTTGTTATACAAGCATTTGATGAATGTAATTAATCATCAGATCTTGTTGATTTTAGATGCAAGATACGAGTATAGGCTAGTTGCCTATTCTCTTGTTAAACACCATTCTAGCATACTTGAATCTTACATCTAACGTCAACATGATCGGATGATTAATTGCATTCATCAAATGCCTGTATAACAAAAAGCGTGAGAATCAATAGGAATAAAAACACTATACAATACTTAAAAAATCATAATTAAAGAAATACTGTACTTTTTAAATTTGTTGTATTTTTGCACGTATCTGCGCAAATGATCCAAACCAAAGGGAAGTTTTGACCCTTTGGACTTGAATAGAGACTTGACTATGCCGCAGAACTTGTCAATGTCATCCCCAAATGTCTACCACTCAGGATTTAGAACTTTGCCCAACTTGGCATGTCCATTAACCAAATAGACATTGTTTGCACAAATTTTTCCATGTGGTTGTCTCAATGTAAATCTGAAGTATATGATGCCATTGAGTATATCCCTGCAAAGTGAATGACAAAAAAATTGAATGAAAAGACAAATGAATGAATTACTTGGATAAATAGCAAAGATAGAAATATGTACTTACCCAAGATGCCAATGAGGAATTTGATAACATACTTTGAAATACGTATTCAAAGAAGTGTATTGAAATAACAATGCAATTTGAGTGATGCGCCGAGCCTCGGTGCGTGCAAGACAAAATGAATGGATACAAATATGCAAGTGTAAGGTATGCTAATTGAAAAAAGGAGAAAGACGCGGGGTTGGAAGACATGCACATACGCACGCACACTTATTACAACATTGTGCCCTCGCGAAGGAGGGTCTGAATGAATAAGCTAACTAGCTACGCTAATTAAGCTGACTATTACAAATCAAAACTAATTAACTATTCTAACTAATTATTACAATAATTGAAATAAATTAACTAACTATTCTAAGCTAGCTAAATATTACAAACCGAAATTGAAGAATTAGTTACGCTAACTAATTAAGTACAACATTCGAGTTAACTAAGCTATTCTAAGCCATCTAAAGTGATTAAATGGCCTCGAGGGTGAGGGACGTATGCATGCTCGGTTGCTCCACCCAAAAATGTCGTTGCCTTGCCATCGGATGCCTCTGTTTACACCCGTTTGATCACTGAAAATTGTGCCAACTCCTAAAATGCCTCTGCTCCAACTCAGGAGCACATTTGTGCAAAGATTAGTGGCCGGTTGGCTACAAAAAGTGGCTGTCTCGGCCACAAAAAGTGGCTGTCGGCCACTAAAACTGGCCGATCGGCCACCACTAAAACTGGACTTCTCCTTTTGCTGCAACAGAAAGCAAACAGAGGCAAAGCAATGTATTTTCAAGGAATGCATGTACTGTTGCTCTCCTTATCACTGCACAAACTCAAAGGAGGGTAACTCTTGGCCTTCGAACCATCAACCAAGCATTTTCAATGCATGGTGGCTAGAAAACCAAGCTCGTACAAGCTTAATGAATGTACAAACAAGACTCGAAGGACCACCCCCCATCATGCATGATTATGGGTGACGGTGACTAAGAAAAGTGGCACATTTCTTCACTTTAAGTATGAAACGCCCCATTTTTGTTGTGTTTTGATTAACGTCCGATCCAAACATATGCAATGCAACACAAAGATGCTTAATCTTGCCTTTTTTACTTTGTTCATTTTGTTTACTCATTTTACATTACCGATTAGTCCTTTAATTGATTAAGTCCAAGGTGAGAGTCTTCTAAAGAGAAAGAAGTGTCAACCAAGGGATGATTTAAGGCAAGAGAGAGGTCATACCGTTGGTTAGTAGAAACCCCCGAAAGAGGATTAAAACCATTAAGCACAAACTCCATCTCAAGCTTAAAGGATTCCAAACTTGAAACAACTCTCAAAAGCGATTGAAAGTGAGACAAATGAGAATGTGACAGAGAGTATGATGTTGAGATTATATGCAAAACAATACTATGACATGCAAACAACATAAGCATTTCATGCTTAAAGCAAACAATGAGCTAATGAAGACCATGGGCATGCAATACAAAGCTCAAAAGGCACAAACACTTTAAAACAATCCTAAGACAGCCTAAAATAAGTTCTAAAACGTGCTTGAATTAAGCTAAAGATAGCTAGAATAAGAGGCCAAAACATAGCACAAGTTAGACTAACAAGCACAATTGCACTACAAGCACACAAAGCAAGCCTCAAGTGCTCCAACTAACCCAAAACAGAGCCTAAAACATGCTTGAATTAAGCTAAGTTAAACTAGTAAATCAAGCTAACATGTGAAGCAATCTAGGCATGGAAGCAAGATACAAAAGGAGGGGAGGCTAACCCCTACTATTTTGGACTTTAAAACATGCTTTCCACCACTGAAATAACTTTGAAAAAGCCCAAAAAGTTTGATTTTAATATACCAAAAGATGGTGCAAAAGCTCACACAAATAAGCAACAAGAAACGGTGGACTACCCCTTAACACAAAATGACCTCAAACCATCATATTAAACCTAAAAAATTAGAGTTTTTTGTAGTTGAAAACAAGGCCAAAAACAGTATAAAAAGATGGCTAAGCAAGTAATTAAGTCCTATACCTCTTCAAGCACAGTACAAAACAGCTACGCTTTTAGGCTCAAACCTCCTTCCAAAAGCTCAAATTAGGCTCCAAGGGACCTCAACTCCAAGGTGGTCAAATTTGGTTAGGGGTTAGTGTGCAAAGGTATAGAGAAAATCAACTATCAAGCACAAAGCAAGAAGAGAGATAGAGAATTCTAGAGAGAGAGAGGGTGAATTTTGATCCAAAATTTCCAACCCCTCTGAAGAGCATCCCCTATATATAGAACATCAAGCTTGGAGCTTGTATTCATCTTTCCATACATGTATGGTGATGCCCTTTAGTGAGCAACAGCTGGCACAGCTGGCAAACAAATATCTGAAAAAGGGGACAAATGGCCGTCGGCCACTCTAAGTAGCAGATCGGTCACTTTAACTAGCCGACCGGTCGTCGACAAGAACAAAGGTGGCCGACAAGGCCAAAAAGTGGCTGACAAGGCCCTTCTTCCTTCCAGGCAAGAGGCAACAAGGTCCCAAAAACAAGCACAAAACAAAATGGGTTTAAAGGCTCAAAGACAAGGCGTTCCGTCGAGAACTTCGGGCGCTCAAAACAAGCACAAACAAGCACAATCATCGAGTGCACAAACGATGACATCCAAGTCTTGAGGTCAGTCAAAAATGGGGTGTCTACATGACCACTCACCAAGCCAGATAAGGATCTTATATGAGCTACCACTCATCTTTTCTCCTCCTTAATCACACCTTTGAGCCCACACTTAAACAACAAATGTGAGAGATATAGAAAAAGGAGAAGATTGAGCTCAACTAAGGGATTTGCTAGGAAGAAGAAGAATTGAACTTAGAGATTTAAGAATTAAGTCTCTAGCTCTCATCTTGGGAAGTCTAGGTAAGAATTCAACCCTTAAATTGTGTTATATGAATGCGTAAACTGTGAATTCAAGAGAATTGAGAGGATCACATAAAAATTAAGCTAGAATTGGAGAAATGAACTCAAACCATACATGCATGCATATTTCATGGCATTTTGAAGTTATTTTCCCAAGAATTTCCTCATGCATGTTACTAATTCATCTTAGTTTTGGGAATTCATCAAGTTTCATGTCATTTTGAGTCATTAGATCATGTTTTGGTCAAAGCCTATCTATCTTTTTATCTCTCTGGTTCACTATCCTCAAAACAGGAAAGATGAATCCTGTTAGAAATGGGCGGCCATGTGGCATGACCATTTCAATACTTTGAATTTATAACTATAACTCCTGCATTAATGGGGTTTGTAACTCTTGCCTTTATTGCAGAGGTTAATGGTGCATTAATGATCAGCCATAAAGGCTGGAGGTTTTTCCTCTCTCCTCTATACATGTATAAATTGAGACCCTCCTGTCAAGTCTAAAACACACAGAAATTTCCCATATTCTGACTTTCTTCCAAAAACAACGATCAAAGCCATTTGCACTGTGATTGGTGTGGGTGATATTCACTGTTGTAATATCACCCCACTGCTGGGTTGACTGATCAGATTCAGGAAGCACGTGATTTACCCACGAGATCTTTTCTATTCAGACTCTGCAGGAAAGGTATGACCATAATTTTTATTCCGCTACGTTATACTACTTATTTACATTGGTATCAGAGCCAAGTTGGGTATTTTCGTGTTTTCTTAATCATGTATATATATGTACACATTATATAGCATGAATTGCTTGTAAATCTACATTATGATCCTATTGTATGGAATTAGAATATTTTATCATGCTTTTAAACATGCCATAGTTAGTGGGAGGTTGTTCGGTTGAGAGAAATCTTTATAGATTTACTCCCGAAAATCAATATTTTGCGCATAAATTAAATTGAATTTTGAATAATTGTCACCTGTGGCGCAAGAGATGATTACGAGCATAGCAGATTTTTGATCTTGTGACTTGTGTAATATTGTCACTATTTAATTTAGATTTTTGCGGTAAAATTATATTATGCTAATCAAATTAATTCCAATGCGAATTTCTCTCTAAATTGACTTAGCTTATGGAAGTTAATTGGTTGACCTAGACTTAGTAAAGATGTTCAAATGTGAACAATGTAATCACATTCTTTAGATGAGCAAAAGTCTTGGAAACTTTACGTCAAGTCTTAATTAAGCCAAAGTAAGGAAACATGACTTAAAGTCGCCGCGTGTTTTTGTTGCCTTGTTTGGCATAATAAAAACTAATGTGTGCGCTATGGTTAGCGGCACGCTACGTAGTTTTGGTTGGCGAGTTTTGGAGTTATGAAATTAGTAAGCCTTTAATAGATCTGTATATGATCTTGACTATTGAGCTGCGCGGATTGACTTTGTAATTTGACTTGTAAATAATGTTACATCATTAGATGAAGTAACATTCAAGAGTCACGTCATCCAAGAAATGCGAGCTTAAATAAATTAGTCATTAAGTGTAAGAGTAGTGTTTTGCTCTCTACCCAATTATTGGGAGTGGATGGAGTCTCTACCCAATTATTGGGAGTGGATGGAGCAAAATTTCATGCACTATAATAGTGTGCGTTGAAATATCACGTGAAGTTAAAAGATTAGCGCTTAGAAGCTGCAAAATCTATTAACACTAAGTGAAAAGATTAGCGCTCAGAAACTGCAAAATCTATTAGCATTGCCAACTTGTCTAAGTCTGGACACTTACTGTTTCCACACTTGAGTGTGAGACATGAGGAGGGGCTTCTTTGTATGATTCCTTAGCTAGGCTAACGTTTTTTAATAACGTTTAGCACTAAACGCAAACGTTGCGGCATAGTGATGAAAAGGTCAAGGCCGACAAGGTTGTTATGACTTTAAGAATTTGACGCATCGCTTGTGAGAGCATTATGTTGAATTAGACTCTTTAGCCTAATTCGCGCTTAAGTTACTTTGGAGCTGTCATAGTTGATAGCTTATTCTCTCCTTCTTGTGGATAGTAGAATTAATTGCAAGTAACTATGAAACGAGAAATAGATATGGCAAAAGGAGTATCGTCATCTTTCAACTAGATGCAGTAAAGTGTATGGAGAATAAAATTGACTTGAAGGTGTAGGAGATTAGCACTTACTAGTTAAATTTGCGACTTAGGCACACTTGATATCTCCATGACATCCTTTTATGATCTAGTGAATATGAATTAGTCGTGAGTCATTACCTAGTTGAGCCTAAACCTTTAAAACTTGTCTTCGAGAACTCACACATTGAGATGATTGGAATTAGTTTATGACATTGGTCATGAACCAATAGCTTATTATACTTAATCACATTAATGAGATGATGACACGATGGTTTGAGTAGGCCTTCTCGGGCCCACTCGCTTATGACATCCTGCTCTCATGTGAATGTGTTACTTTGTTCGCAATGGGTGCGCGCAAGTAAGTAGGAAAGCCGTAAAAGGTCATTTGTTTTGGCGCATTTAGTCAGCTATGATATTTGTGACTAGATATGTGTAAGGGTATGATAGCTAAGCCTCAATCTCGACATATTTATAGATTACGATACACATCTGAGTCAAGACTATTTGATCTCCCATAAGTCAAAAGTTTTGAGATGATTTTTGACATTGCACATATGAGGTTGAGATCAATTAGATAACAGCTTTTGTGCTTTTAGTTTTGACCAAGGTGAAGAGAGATAGATGTTTAGAAAATTGTTAGGAGGATAATGGCATAAAATGTTTCCTAATTGGAAATTGCACTAGTTTATTGCCTATATCCCTAACTAAGTGTCCTCCATATCAAATTTTACACTCCATTTTGAGTAATAGGTTAGCGGAGAGCCATCTATGGGCGATCTGTAACCGTTAAGCAGCTTATCTTTATTTTACTTTTCATAAGATTGCGAAGTTAAAACCTAGGGTTCTATAGCGCAGTATGCGGTCATGCAAACCCTCCGGGTCATGTGCATAGAGGTAAGCAGCTTTGTGGTAGTGTAACTAAGTCACATAAAGTTTTATTAGTAAAGGTGATGTGAATAGAGTTTTTGGAACTCTATAAGATAGAGAATTCAAAGCATAGCGCTCTATGTAGCCTAGTTGAGAATGGAAAGAAATTTCCAATATCCTAGGGACAGTGGGAGCGATGTGCCTATTAATGGATTACTCCATTAGAGAAGAATACTCTACATTCTTAGTTGCGTGGTAGCGAATGTGAAAATTTTTCACGTCATCACTGGGTGATTGAGAGGGAAACATTCATGATTGCTCTACAAGATGATAAAGAGTCTAGGATAATGCCTAAGGCTATGTCCCCTATTTTTAGAAAGTGGATCAATGTTGCGCAGTTTAAGACAAAGTCTTTGAGGATTAACTATTTTTATAATTTGGTTGACTTTTCATTATGACGCAAAACTGTTATAAAGTTATGCGTAATTTGGATAGTCATTGTTGAGGCATAAGGCTCGCTAGATACCGAAAAGTCGCACCATTGAGGAAAGTGTAGACCATGAGAAGACTTCCTCCTGGGGAGTGAGGTTATTTTGACTTAGGCTATAATTGACATAAGTTCGGAACATTGATTTGTGGACATTGTCACCTGATTTCTCGTTAGAAAATTGGATAAGTAGATCCGTAAGGATTTACCTTCTGCTTTTATGGTGAAAAGTTAGGAGCGCAAAAAGGTTGCTAGTTCCAATAAATCTTTTACAGCCTAAAGCAGTTATCCAAACAGTGGTTCTTAGATTTCGTAAAGCCATGATAGGCCAACGATGATCAATGAAGACCACTGAGGCATGATCAATAGTCCAAAAAGAAGTTTTTCCTTACTTAGTCATTATAAACCAGGAATTTATAAGGTTGTCGCCACCTAGGGTGGCCA